GCTAACCTAGACGCATGAAGCTGGAATCATCAAAGTATAAGAGTTAGTAGACAAAAGCGAAGCGCAATGAGGTACAGACTGCGTCTTCGTCACTATTGAAGACCTGTCATGAACCATAAAACGGCTAGCTAACATAACAACGATGATTTGGGGGGGGGCGGAGGTGACGGATCTTTGCTTCCATTGAATAAAATTATGAAAAAAACTAATGCTACTTTGTCCGACGATCCCAATGAACACAGCCATTAACTAAATTGAAAAGAGTTTATTAAAATTATTCTCACGATGAACATTCACGAAAGCCAGTTATATCTACCTGGTGGAACAGCTTCAACTCATCCAAAGCTAAGTCAGAACTGTCTCGCCAAAACATTATTTTCAGGCTGATAATATAACCTATAGAGACAGAAAATTTCATCGGTAACCAGCTAGGAAAAAAGTCAAATTTACATAATCGCTTTCACTATTGTTGTCTATTGATTCAGTACTGTCGTTGCAGAAAACAACCTTTCTTGGAAACGTTTTCTGTTGCTGGTAGCTGTACTGCAGCATAAGCGAATAAACTTGAATAACTAAATATATAGTGAGAAGGAGGCTGGTATTGCTTTAGACGATGAACTGTGTGTGGTTTGTTCACATAATCGTCTTTAACCGTTTGCATAATCAGAACTTCTATGGTCTATGATATCCGTGCATTCTTAGCGCACTTTTCTATAAGGCACCGGTTACTTTTCATAGAAGGTGCAATTGGTCTCTGAAGGTCTGCCGCAGGTCTGCCTTCATTTTGTTCATCCATGAATGCATGCCGGCCTTCTGGTCGATGTTTGCCGTGTTTTCGCTCCCACACGAGAAGTTCGCGGCCTGCTGTAAGTGGTTCATGCTCAACCAGTTTATCTAGTCTTAAACTCTAACCTCCATCTCGTAATCTCCACATGTACTGAGATCACCTCAACCAAGAATAGAGCCGAGGTATTATTTACGTAGTTTTGCCATTTAACCCTCATTAGATGTTGAGGCAAGTCCTGCTGTCGCAGTTCAACCATCGTTTCTGGTCCTTCTTTAGAACGACTGTGTCCATGACATGATTATCAGGCAGTGAACTTATGCAAAATCCATCGATCCATACCAAACACAGCGGACTCTCGTTTCTGAGATGCCACCTAGGCATTTAGAAATGATGGTTTAAACGTATGGACTAGCGTTATAAGCTCTGGTTTTGAAGGAATTATTCATTTATTAATACACTTCAAGGCAGGAGTTTTATCGCGTTGGAAGCTACCTTCTCAAACATGATTGATTATATGCAAAACATTGCTGGATCCAATAAAATAATGGGATACGCACATGTGTATTGCAAATGCCAGAATGTCTTCTAGTTTTGACTTACTTAAATGGCTCTCAAGGAATTTAGGAGTTAAGGCCGTGCCATGCGTCGGAAAACCCGGATCTCGAGGAATGATTCGTTTATTGAAAATATCACAGTAGTCACCAGTGATTCATGCAATGTATTTATTAAACAATGAACATGCCAGAAACTTAGAAGAGAATTACTTCAATACAGAATGTCTAAGGCAATTATCATATTCAGCTCAGTAGAAATTGTAAGAGTTGCATGAAAATTAAATGTGGAATAATTTAAGAGTGAAAAGCTGCAGGGTAGACGTAACATAAGAAGAAGGAGAAGAAAAGGAATTTAGAAACCGATGGTAGTTTTTTAACAGCAAATTTCAAATAGATGAAACGTTTGGTAACGATTTCCTCATTAACATGGTCAATAGCATGAACAATCAAAATGCTGATTCACGCATTAATTGATCTCTCATGGTATTCAGATTTCCAGCTCGTTACTGTTTGTTATTTTATTTTCAATGACCCTCGGCCTGATTATGAATCAGAAGTCTATTATTCATTTATTCGTGAGGAGAAAATATTTTGATTGACAAGTTAAATAACGACAGCACCATAGGGGCAAATACATATCCGTTTTCCGACTTGTCCTTATTATGCGTGCGCAATGAACACGAGTCAACTCTTCGTCAGCGCTCTTCGCTTTCTGCCTCCACCATTGGCCGAGTATTTTGAGAACTGGATCATCTGTGCTTGTCCTTGATGACCGAGTCGACGTTTGTGATCAAACGGAATGCAATTTATAATTTGCTCTCAGGCAAGCCAAATCTCTATCCGACCTTCTCTTGGTGTAGCAGAAGGCGCCAATCTCGTCGTGCGCTTTGAACGTGACCATGGAGGGACACTTTGTACAGTTTTCACACTTTTCCTAACGGTCAGGTTGTTTTCGTTCGCTTTGGTAGCAGACCAACATTCAGCATCGTAGATCATGCAGGGGTAAAACAGTTGAACAGAACAGTTCTTCGTTCTCTTGCCACTGGCAGCTCATTGTAAAGTGGCGATATTTGAATACGGTCAAAGCAGAAACTTGCTACCTTTCTTTTTCTGCTGGTTTTCCTGTTTAACCGATTCTGTCAATCCCCCTGATGGCCAACGGATGCATATTTTATAACTTCTTCTAGTTCTTCGCCATTCGCTTAGACAGTATGTAATTATTAATAAAAGTGCCGATAAAAATCTGTCACAAATAAGACTTCAGGTTTTTGGTTCTGGGCCCATAGTTATATAGATAAATAGTTGAACGATTCATGACTCAAAACATTAAACAAGGTACATGGTAAAACCGTCTTTGCCAACGCGCTTCTCTACGTACACCTGCAAAAGCATCCGCTTCAGAGCAGCCATTTGTGCTCAGCCCAGCCCTGATGATGCCATGGTCTACATAGTGAAACGCGTAGTAAATAACGGTTTTACCATCTACCGGGTTTGGTGCCCTGAACCAAAAGTCATTCGACCACATATCTAAAAAAAATTTTATAAAAAACTTAAAAGTACTGGAAAGCTGAACGATTTTTTTCTAATCACGTTGATCGTTAACTTGCGAACAGCCGACGACAGTGCGACTCACATGTTTTGCCTTGTAGACCTGAAAGCGAGTTGGAGAAAATCAAAGATACGCTCAATTCTAGCTTCGCTATCACGGAAGACGATTTGATATCTTCCACCTTAAATTGCAGTTTGACAAACTCCTGTCCCGATTTGTCGGAAGCTCAGAAGCAACAGTTAATCGGTTTTGCTCAGTTCCAGTCGACGTCGGACGACTGCCAACATTCCCAGCAAAATTTGTTCCTCAACGACGACTTCGAATTCGACGCGAACCCGGTTCTGATGGGCATCATGGAGAACCTGGCGAGCGACGAGAAGATCAGATCACCAAGGGTGCAAAAGGTGGACGAGGACATCAAGCGCGAGCTGCGCTTGAACGAGAAGTTGGCCAAGTACGCGAAGGGCAGCAACCTGACGGCAGGACCGACCGCAAGGTCCAAGGACGAGGACACGATGATCGAAAAGCTGGCCAACGCTACGTCCGGCACTGACGTCAAGGTGCAAGGGGAGCCGGTGAAAAGCATCATGGAAGAGATCGAAGAGAAGGCGTTCTACCAGTGCAAGAATAAGAACAGACAGTTGTTCAGGATGCCCTGCGCCTCGCCCGTCGAAACCGTTATCCTGTGCCAAAACGGCAAAACCGCGACTGCCGTCAACACCCAGTCCAAGGTAGGTTCACGTCGTTGGTCGGGGTTCCGCCGACCCGTTCCTCGTTCCTCGTTCCTCGTTATGGCCGTTTCTATGTTTGCAGAGCGAAGACGGCGATCAGTGGCACGGCTTTGGCTCCCTCATCCCTCGAGCTACTTACGTTGAGGACGACATGGAGGACGACGATATGCACGTCATCGTCAATTCACTCGAGTCTGCGGAAGTAAGGCATTTCAGTCGTAGGATTTTATGTTGTGTATACTCCGTTCATTCAAAAGCCCTATCTGTGCTTCCTGTTTATTGCAATACGGATGGAAGCAGGAATCTTGTCTGATACGGTATAGAACTAAAACAAGAAGTTGTGCATATCAATGAGTCTGAAATCCCGTCGATCATCCGCGTAACCTTTCGTTCGACAGTTTCGTCTATTTGATGTTTTGAATTGCGCATATTCTCGTATTGCATGTTATGCGTTATTTGTTACCTGTCACTTGGTGCCAGATAGTTAGCGTTTTCCTATGTAGTTCATTTCTATATGATCTATGTTCCTCTGCTGTTTTCTCTCTACCCATAAAATGGAATGGAAGGCTGTAGATCTCCTTGTGGAAACTGGAGTGAAGGCATTACTGTCATGAATGCTGATGCAGAAGAGTTTTAGAACTGCGGCGCCATTCGTAGAGCAGGATTCAGAGTATCGAACGTATAGTTCGTCACAGCAGAGTGAAATGGTTTCAAGCAGAAGTGATAACTGTTATATTCGTTCCATAGGCCTCTAATAATCTGACTCTGAATTTGGATGTGTGACTGTCATCGTTGTGCCATGCGAGAAAAACAGAGGCAAGGGTGAACAAGCTGTTTCTTGGAAAAGAAGAAAGTTATGGCTAGAATAAACCTGCCTTAATATACCTGTCAGAGTCGCTGTCGTTATACCACATTGCAAACTGTAATCAATTTTGTTACATGCTGCCATCATCGTCATCTTCTCATGAACTCAGTGTTTTCTTGTTC